CGTGCATGTCTGTGTCCATGTCTGTGTGTGTGTGTGAAACACAGGAGGGGTGGGGTGGGGAATGTAGGTGCGAGGAAGGTGCTTGACCTCCTGCGTGGGAAGGAATGGGGAGGGTGTGTGGGAGCCCAGGATGTACAGCCCCGTGGATGCTGAACCGCTACGCCCCGTTCCACAACAGCTCTGTGCAGGAAGCCGACGTCTCGGGTGCTGCTGTGGGGGTCTAAGCTGTGGCTCCCACCTTTGTAGGACCAGTGGGGCTGCAGGCTCAGGCTAGGGTGAGGAGGTGGGTTGGTGAGCAGGTTAGAGGAAAGGAGTGAGGAGAAGTATCTGGGAGCTGAGAATGCTTTTATGGAAGTTGGGTGGAGATGAAACTTGAGCTTGGTGCTGCCCTGACCCTGAGGAGCTGAGGAGAGACGGAAGGCCCTGAGAGATGCCTAGACTTAGCGAGGTCAAGCGCTGGATGGAGTGCTCGACCTGGAGAAGACCTGAGTGTGAATCCTGCCTTGGATCCCCCCAGTTGGGTTTTCTCTGTTGTAAGATGAAGCTGGGAGTTGGGCTCAGTGACCTCTAAGGTCCTTCACGCTTTAGATCTGTGAGCCTATGCGAAGAGAGGCAGCAGGGGTGGAAGGGAGGCCCCTTGTTGTGAGGGTTACCATGGGGGCCCATGGGACGCGTGAGCTTGAGCTGGAGCAGCGATGGGCCGCGGGGCTTGTCATGTCGCATCGGTGGGACCTGGCCCTCCTGCTGTGGAATCCCTTTCCCTGGACAGGATCTGGGCTGCTCCGGGCTAGTCTGACCCAGAGGCAGAGGGAGGGAGAGAGGGCTGATGGGTGGGGGGTGCCCAGAGGGGCCTCTGCTCCTTGGAGTGCCTGCCAGCAGAGCAGGCTGGGCATCTCCCTTGTTTTCCACCCCCCAGTTAAGCCCGGCTCTGCTCCAGGCCAGATTGCCTCAATTCATCGAGAGAAGGCAGGGCCTGGGTTTGAATTCCGATGCCCCCATCTCTTGGTGAGCTTGTCCAGGCCTCATCTTCCTCGGAGGGGCAGCCTATTGCTGCCTCCTCCCTGAAGCCTTCCCTGACTTTTCCCTTCCTTGTTGGTATTTTCCCCCACTCTCTGATTTTATTGTACTAGTGTAACCCGTGAGGGTGACCTCCCCCTCCCCCCAGCGCTGGGCTCCCTGGGGGTGCTGAGAGAGGCCTGTGTGGTCACCCTCTGAGCCCATGTGCCTCCCCCACTTCCTGGAGCGTGGGCCCAGCTGTCGGTGTGGGGAGTGAGGGCTCCGGCCTCCCAAGATCTATGAGTTTCTCTGCCCTTGTTGGCGTCACTGGGCCCTCCTTGAGGATGGGGTGCTGCCTTCATCTTCCTTTGGGGTGCCCTGTCCTTAGCAGGTGCCTGGTAAATATTGGTGCCCGTTCAGAGCCCCAGCCTCTTCTGCGCCCTCTCTCCGACCTCAGGGAAGAAACAGGTTCTAATTGTAAAAATGCAGGGGAGGACTTCATGGTGACTCCCTTCCTCCAGGGTCCTTGATCAGCCCACCTTTCATCCCCTGGAGGACTCTGTCCCCCTGGCCCCGGGGCAATGCCCTGCCAGGACTGGCAGGAGGTCACACTTACCCAGTGCTCCTGTCCCCTCCACTGCCCACCACAAGCTCATGACGCAGATTGCACAAGGGTTGTGATCCCCATCGTACAGATGAGGAAACTGAGGCTCATTTCTGGCCTAGGGTCACGTGGCTTCTGGCACAGAGTCCCGGCATCCTTCCCCTGCCAGTCAGTGCTGCCGGGCTCCGGGAGGGAATGTGTTGGGGGGTCAGGGCACAGCCTCGTGGACTTGGGCTGGACCCTGAAGGGAGGCAGATTGCCTCCTGTGAGCAGGGACTTGGAGGTAGGAGTGAGCACAACGTGAGGGCAAGTGAGTGCAGGCTGTGCAGAGGGAAGCCACCAATGAGTGTGGAGAGGGGCTTCAGTGCCGGGCCGAGTCTTCGGAATCCTGGGGTGATGGGGAGCCCCTGAAGATCTAGGGGCAGGGAGTTGATGGGACTTCAGGCAGCTTTGTTTGGCAGCTCTGTACTAGAGCATGTGAGAGCAGGAGTGGGGGCCTGGAGATGGGGTGAAGAGTTCTGGGTACAAAATGGCCAGGGCCCAGAGGGGATCCAGTGGCAGCTGGTTGTAACAGCTTGGAGCCCAAGTCCAGCCCTCTGGTCACTGCCTCACCTGGCTGCCTCAGGGTCACCCTGGGACCATTGGTGGAGCTGGCCTTGAACCTAGGGCATCTTCCCCTGCACCAAACTAGTGACAGGAAAATGTTGAGTTGGGGAGCCTGGGAGCATGTGACTTCTGCCCTTGGAGGCAGGGGAATGGCCAGGAAGGCGCCTTGGAGCTCAGAGTAGCTGCCTTCAGGGAGCCCTCCCCTGGGGCCAGCGCCTGACACCATAGCTATAGCTTTGTGTGTGTCTCCTGGTGGGGCAGGGTGGGGCTGGTGTTGTCCAGGCCAAGCTGTGGCTCCTCTTCCTTCTGCTTCCCTCCTCACTGGTCCCTGGCCCTGCCCTGCCCTCACCCCCCACTCCCATCCCCTAACTGGTGACTCATTCATGGGCTGGGAGAGTGGCACCACAGGTGAGGAGGGAGTGATGTAAGGTCAAGTCAGGGAAGAGAGTGTGGCCCCAGCCCCTGACCCCCTTCGCCCTGCCGCTGACCAAGCTGGGGGCAGCTGCCCTGAGGGCTGAGGCTTGAGCCCCGCTGAGGTAGGTGTCGGGGGTGACTAGGAACCTTTCAGAACCTCCTCTGGTTTTGGTCTTGTGGGATGGGGTCAGGGCTGGCTCCAGCTCCATCAGGGTTGGGCCAAGTGACCTCTAAGGTCTCTCCAGCTTGAAAATCCTGATTCCTCGCCTTCTCCCTCCCCCCTCCCCTCCCCCATTAGATAGAGAGCTCAGTGCTTTGTGCTTCGCTGGGAAAGGGGGGCTGGACCTTGTTGCTGGGGGGCTCCTGGATGTCTACCCCCCCAACCAAACCAAGAAAGGAGGGCCCTCTTAGTCATGTGAGCTAATACCTGTGAAGTGCTCGGCATTCTGGGTGGGCCTGGTTTTACTCAGCTGAGAGTGAGCAGGGAGGGCCAGAAACCCAACATGCGAGGGCCTCCCCTCCTAGGGAGGCTGAATCTCTGACCTTTCCCCAGCTTCTCCCGCCAGCACTAACACTGAGGGAACGGTGGAGAGGGAGGTTCCCAGAGCACTTTCCTGACAGCTCTGGGGACATCTAAGCTGTGGTGAGGGGGACTCTGGGCCCCTTCCACTCAGCCTTCCCTGTTCTCATAAAAAGGCCTGATCAAAATAATCGTCACTTAGATGTCAGGCTCCGCTCTAGCCGGCCCTTTGGGCTTCCCTGGCTTCTGGGCTCTAGCAGGGACCCTGGAGACCATGCAGGCGGCCCCTTATTTTACAGCTCAGAAAACTGAGGCCCAGCAGTGCAGTGACTTGCCCCCAGACACACAGCTAGTCAGTGTCGGAGTGGGATTAAAACCCAGGCCTTCCTGATGCTGGCCCTCCCATCTGTCCCACCTGGCTGTCCCATCTGTCCAGTGGGGGGGAGGGGGGTTGGTTGTGTCATCCTCGAGCTAGGCTCAAGCAGACCAGGAAACCTCTGGACCATCCCCAGAAAGATGGTCGTTTTAAAAAACAAGTTGCTGGACTTGTTAAGTGTCTGGGCAGGGTGCAGAGGAGGCCAGTGTTTTGCCCAAGGCACCCAGCCAGTGAAGGAGCAGAGCCCACACCATTATTCTTTCTAGTCCAGAGCCGAGAACTTTGGGGTAACCCTGGGTTGACTTGGTGGCCTAGCTTTTGGAAACTCACTTTACCTTCAGTTTCTTCATCTATAAAATGAGGATAATAATACAAGGTGGTTGTAAGAAAACTACTTTGTAAACCTGGGTCTCAGTTTCCTCCTCTGTAAAGTGAGGAGCTTGGACTACAGGAAGTCTAGATTCCTCCATCTCTGACCTCTGACCTCTCTAGCCCAGGTGTTGTTCATTTTGTGTCCCAACCCCAGGGGCATTGGGCTGAAGCCTCTTAACCCCCTCTCTGAACAGTGTTTTTAAAAAATGCATAAAAATATGCCTAGGGTTACAAAGGAAAACTATGTTGAAATCAGCCGTAGGGATCTGGGCGATTAGCGTGTGGAAGGTGCCCTAAGTGTATGTCAGTGGTGCTGTGGCCTGGCTTGCCTGTTGCCCACGTCATGTTGGGTAGTTTCAAGCTTGGATGCGGGGTCAGGAAGGCCCGGGGTCAATTATGAGAGAGCGCCAGGGCCTGTGATGTCACCGTTTGGGAGTTCCTGCTGGTGCAGACTGGGATGGCCTTCGGGGGCTTGGGCACTTAGAGATGAAGGGGTTGGTCCGGCAGGGAGGGCCATTAGGTATTGGAGGCCTCTCCGGTCTTAAGGCCAGGCCTCCCTCCCCTAATCCGTTCTGCTTCTCAGATGATGGGCAGAATCGTGTTCTGTGTAAATGTGAGAGGTGTGGAGCTCTCTCTGAGCGACGGTGCTGAAGGGCCTGCCCCTGCCCCACCCTGGCCCAGAACCCCTGGAGTGCGCTGGCAAACTCGCATGGCCTTGGAAAGCCGCAGAGTCAAATCTCCATGCTGTGCTGTATTTCTAGTTGCTCAGACACTTCCCATTTACATTTTAATCTGTTTGGGCAATGTGACCGAAGGGCTCTAAGCTGCCGAGCAGGCCCTGCATGGGCACAGGGGCTTTCTTCCCTAGGTAGGAGCTCCCTCAGCCATCAGGGTCACAGATTCAGGCAGAAGAGGTCGCCCCATAGTGGAAGGGCTGGTGGGAAAGTGGACGACTTTCAGTGATGTCTGAGCTTGGTTCTGTAGAACTGGGTCCTTTACAGGAAGCCTTGGGGTCACAGCCCGAGGGGGTCATGCTGGGTGACCCCTAAGGCCTCTTCCAGCTCCAGATCTTCGTCCTGTGATAGCACCATGCTTCTGGGCTCTCCTTGGCCTGGGGGGGAGGGGAGCATCCAGCGCTGCCTCCTGTGGCCCAGTCCTGAGCAGAGGTGCTGCTTTGGGGACCGTGATCACAGCTGCTTCATCTTCTCCCGGGGAATCAGTGGGCATTTGTGGCAATGCCCCTTGGTGGTGGGTGGGGTGCCCTTTCTGGCTTCATTCCCAGGTCCCCAGCTGTAGCTCCTTGTACACTTACTAGTCACTTAATAATGCTGATTTGTGGACATCAGAGATCCCACTGCTTCACCACAGAATTGGGTCTTGAGTGAAATCTCTCCCCACCCCAGCCTCAATGGGGCTTCTCTCCCGGCCCCACCTGCCTTTACTATGGAGCCAGATTGTTTTCTCTGTCGGCCCTGGGTCCTGGATCCTGGGTCCTGGGTCCTGGGTCCTGGGTCCTGGGTCCTGGGTCCTGGGTCCTGGAAGGGTCTGGGGAACGTTTGGGTCCACACTTTCCTCCTCACGGCCCTGACCTTTTAGTGTACCTAAGTGTGTGTGCGTTTTTGCACGTGTGTGCATGTGCCTGTGAGAGTGTGCACATGTGTGCATGCTAAGTATGCATGCATGTGTGCGCATGCTTGTGTGTGCACGTGAGTGTGTGCATACATGTGTGCACGCTCATTGGTATGGGTGGGTCTGCAGCAGGACCAGACATTAACCAGGAGGCCCGTGGTTTTGTCTCCTTCCGCAGCCTGGACGTGTCTCCTCAGGTAGAACCTGGCCCAGATGCGCCTGCGCCGCCTCCTCCGGGCAGCCTCCCCTGCTCCCCCCCTGCTCCTGTTCCCGCTGCTGCCGCTGCTAGCATGCTAAGCACTAACCTCTTTGCACCCGCTGCCGCCGCCACCGCCTTTGCCTCCCCCCCTGCCCCCTCCCCCAGATGTCTGGGATCTACCAACCCATTCCTCCCCTCCCTGCAGAGCAACCCCTTCTTTGAGGAGCTCGTGGCGGACAAAGCGTTAAAGTGTGCTTCACCTGCTCGCTCTCTCCCCAGCGGCTCGCTGGTAGCGGCCCCCACTGCGCCCTCCCTGCCGGAGTGGGACGACACCTTCGACGCCTTTGCCGCCAGCAGGCTGCCCCCCGATGCTGGGCACGGACTCTCGGCCCCAGCCGCAGAGAGGGGGGCCTTGGGAGCGCTCCAGGCCGGCGATGATGACGTGCAGATGGCAGGGTCTCAGGAAGCTCCCAGGGGAGGGGGAGGAGGCTCAGTATCGGCGCCAGAGGCTTCCGGACCCCTGAGTCTTGACGGCTGGAGTGTGGCCCCTGCTGGCTGGGAGTCACCTGTGTTTCGAGGACCCAGCCCCTCCTTAGCAGCCGAATGGCCCTCACCGAGCCGGGAGCCAGAGGAGGAGACCCCCTGCCAGCGTCAGGAAGCGGACCAACACCCAGAAGCCCCTGAGGCTGCTTGTCCCAGGCCCCGAAGAAGAGTGAGCGCTGAGCAGGAGAGGTCGCCTAACCCCGGAGCATCCACGGAGCCTGAGGAAGAGCCCAGGAGCGTGGAAAGCCACTTTTTCCAAGAGTTGAATGTGGTTACTGATCTCTGGTCATCAGAGATGGTAAACATCCCTCCTGTGTCCAGGAGCCCCCCTCCCATCCCAAAGAGAAGCTGGGAGCAAGAAGAGAGCCTTTGGGGGGCTCTGGATGAACCCCCCGGCCTTCAGGAGCCAGGATCCCCAGGGCCACCTCCAGACTCTGCAGGAGACGTGGACAGAGAAGTCTTCTCACCACCCCCTGACAAAGGGGAGGGGTCCCCTGCACCAGAACCTGGCTCTCCTCCACCCAAGCCACCACGCCTTTTCACACCCATGAATTCCCAGAATGAAGAGGAAGAAATGAACCCAGGGGAGCTGAGCAGAGAAGGGACAGAACTGTGTGTCGAAGACATCTGCCCAGGCCTTCCGGCTCTCCACCACCAGGATGAGATGGAGGGGGGTGCCTTGGGTGTGGAAGAGCTCGAGATCTGCCCCACTGTAGACCGTCCAGACCAACGTGCTTCAGAAGGGGACTCTGTCAGCTGCTGGGACCCGGTTCCCCGGGTCCCTGAGCCCGGCTCTCCACCAGCTGTCCTGGATGTCCCTTCCCCAACACTCACCTCACAGAGCAAAGCTGGCCAGAGCCAGCATTTCTGGGCAGTTCAGGAAGCAGAGTCTCAATTCCTTGGCATGTTGGGGACCCTCCAAGACAAACCTGAGCCCCCTGGCCCCCTGGTGACTGCTGGTTTGGAGAAAGATCCTTTCTGGGCTTCTGATGATGATGATGATGACACCTTGAGCTCCTCCTTACCTCGTGGGAGCCCAGCTTCCACCATCCTTCCAGCCTTGCTTTCTGCTGGGGATGAAGCTTCTCCAGAATCTCCCAGCCTAGAACTTGTGGCCCCTCAGGATCCCCTCCTTGCTCCTCCCCTCCCTCCCCCTCTCCCTTCTCCATGCCCAGCCACTAATGTGAGCAGGAAGCCTGGCCAAGAATCCCTCTCTCTGCATGGAAGCCGGCCCTTCTCCTTCTCTACCCCGGCCCCGATGGACTTCCCTGCAACCCGAGGCCCCTTCGAGTTCCCCTCGCCCATCGAGGGCTCCTCGAGCCCACAGTGGGGCATCGAGACCCCTTCCACCCTGCTTGCGCTTCTGCCCCTGGAGACACGACCAGCTGAGGAGCCTTCGAGCCAGCCTGGCGCCAGGTGAGGGGCAGGGGGGTGGGGCTTTTCCTAGGCAAATCCCCTGCATTCTCTGGGCCTGTCCAAAACGAGGGCGCTGGGCTAGAGAGCGATCATCTGAACCTGAGGGCAGGACAGAGCCCAGCCCAGAACAGTCCTGGGGGCCAGCTTCTGAGTGAGGTTGGTCTGACGGGAGTAAAGGAGGCTTGGATGGAGGTGGGATGGGCTGAAATCCAGAGTAGGTAGCCCATGTGAAGAGTCTGGTCCCTGTAGCCACTGGCAGTAGAGGCCAGGCCTCGGGGAAGGGAAGGATATGGCCCATCCAGCCCAAGTAGTGCTGCCTCCATGGGAGGAAACGGGGGTCCTCTAGTGGGGAGGAACTGGGGGTCTTCTGATGGGGAGGAAATGGGGGTCCTCTGAAGGGAAGGAAATAGGAGTCCTCCAGTGGGGAGGAAATGGGGGTCCTCTGACAGGGAGGAAATAGGAGTCCTTTGAAGGGAAGGAAATGGGGGTCCTCTAGTGAGAAGAAAATGGGGCTCCTCTAATGGGGAGGAAATGGGGGTCCTCTAGTGGGGAGGAAATGGGGGTCCTCTGACAGGGAGGAAATAGGAGTCCTCT